TATTTTCACCCCAGGTCATCCTTTTATGCTGAGGCCCTGTCTGGACAACATTGTATGAGAGGCCGGATGACCCTGTGGTCCCCACATTTCCTGTCTTTAGCTTTAGGCATCTTCTTTATCTGTCCTGTGCTGCTGGCTGGGAGGTTTTTCTCTGGGCCGTGAATTGAGTTCTCAGTCCTGTCACTCACAGGAACAGGAGAGGATAAGGGCGACCACGAGGAGAAGATGTACCGAGTCTCATTAGTATGCAAGGCCCTTCTTGTCTCATTGCCTTTAATTGAAGCTGAAGGGCTGGCATATCTCTCTCTGGGATTTTCCACTCTCTCAGCCCTTCCGGAACTGGCTGGGCACCAGCCTGCTGAGAGGGACAAGGACAGCATAGGGGCACCGAGGCATCTGTCTGTTGGTGTTGGAAGCCAACCACGATGATGTCTCTGAGCTAAGGTGGAAGCTGCGTTCCTACAGCATCCTGGCTTGCTTCTTCTCTCCTGCCCCTCACCCCTGCTTCCCTCCCCTTTTCCTCCCTCCGCTGATCAAGTACCTACCTGTGCAAAGGCTGTGTTCTGCCAAGACCAGGAGAAAGACCACCAAGTAGAGATTTTATCTGTTGCTTAATTTTTAGCCAAGACCAGGAGAAAGACCACCAAGTAGAGATTTTATCTGTTGCTTAATTTTTAGCAAAGTAGTGCATCCCCAGAGGCAATGTCTTTGAACTTCAGCTGCTCCTCTGGCCTCACTTCTGTATCTGGAACAGGTTTCTACGGTAATAAGATTTTTGATAGGATCTACTGATTTCCTGCCATGATAGGTGAGGGTTAGGTTAGATTCCATCCCTCCCCTTGCCATCCAAAACAGCTAAATCGTTCTTTTCCATTCCTTTATTGGTTGGCTTTGTAATTTCAAGCAATATACAAACATACCTATTTCTTTCTACCTTTTGGGGGGTGAAATATATGTACAACAGTGACTATAAAACATATATAACAATAAATAAAACATTTGTGGAGGATCGCTTGAGCCCAGGAGTCAGAGGCTTCAGTGAGCTATGATCGCACCACTGCACTCCAGCCTGGGCAACAAAACGAGACCTCTTTACGACATTTAACAAACCAACCAACAAACAAACAACAGAACACTGTCAACACTTTTAAAGCTCTTCCCCCATGGAGCCACTTCCCCGACTATTGTGATAGCTATTCTCTTGCTTTTCTTTGGAGCTCTTTTCACCTTTCTATCCATCTCTCAACGTTTAGATTTGCTATAAATAGAATCACACTATATGTATTATTCCGTGCCTCTCATCTTTCCTTCAACGTTTTTAAGCTAATTCACGTTGATGTGTGTGGCTGTGGCTCGCTCATGTTCACTGTTGTATAATCACTGGTCAAGTAGACCACAATTGGTTTATCCAGTCAGTTGCTGATGGACATTTGGGTTGTTTTCAGGTTTTTGCTATCATGAGCATCCTCCTAGTACATGTATGGAAGGGTTTCTGCAGTGGGATACAGGAGTGGAATCGTTTGTATTCACTGTCAGACTCAGTTCCACTTGGAAACGCCAAGCAGTTTTCCAGTGTGGTTGTGCCTCCAGAGATGGTGACCTAATTGTGAAGGGTGTTCAAAACTCCCCAGGTAATTCCACTGGGAGGCTCCACATCCCACCTTGATTTCCAGCCCGTCTATTCGAGATAACATCTCTCAGCCCTCCACCGTGAACAAGGTCCCCAGCTCATTCCTTTCTGCTCTCCTCTGTCAAGATTTCTGAGTGATGATCTAAAGAGATACTAAGGGGCCTTTTCCCAGGCAAAGTCTACGCGTAGGGAGTAGGCAACAAAGTTGTCAAGGCATGGACAGGAATTGGGTGAAATACCAGGACAACGGCTTGCAGGTGAATTCTTCCTTTAGGCAGTTGAAGAAAGCTAAAGAAAACCCAAGGGCTAGGGAATCCTCCCAGAAGCCAGTCCTTCCCTCCAGCTATGAATTGCCTCTAGCATCTGTCTGTCTGCCAGTTATCTCTCTCTCTCTTTTTTTTTTTTTTTTTTTGAGACAGGGTCTTGCTTTGTTACCCAGGCTGGAGTGCAGTGGCACGATCTTGCTCACTGCAACCTCTGCCTCCCTTCAAGCAATTCTCCTGCCTCAGGCTCCCAACTAGCTGGGATTACAGGCGCCTGCCACCACACCCAGCTAAATTTTGTATTTTTAGTAGACAGGGTTTCACCATGTTGGCCAGGCTGGTCTCGAACTCCTGACCTCAAGTGATCCACCCGCCTAGGCCTCCCAGAGTGCTGGGATTATAGGCGTGAGCCACTGTGCCCGGCCTGACTGCCAGCTATCTCTCTAGCAGCTTAACCTGTGGGACTCACAGGCAGCCAGCATGATGCTTAGAAGTTGAGGGGAATTCTGGACTCCTCAGGGTCTTACAGTCACGTTTCTTTAAAGGGATTCTAAGCCCCATCTGCGTCTCAACCCTGGCTGAACCTTAGCAACACATGGGAGTTTTACCTAGCTACTGATGCCCGGGCCCCAGGGTAATTACATCAGAATTGCTAGGGTGAAACCCAGGCACCAATACATTTCAGAAGCTGACATGATTCTTCCATGCAGCCAGGGTAGAGAACCAGTAATCAGGGGTCTCAAACTTTAACTAGCATCCATCAGAATCACCTGGAGGCCTTGTTAAAATGCAGATGGGGGGGCTCCACCCCCAGTGTCTGGTTCTATCTGCCTGGAAAAAGGCCCTGAATTTGCATTTCTAACAATTTCCCCCTATTGCTAATACCCCCAACTTGTCCCTAGAGAGCCAACCTGCAGGTCTGAAGTTATGCCTGATGCTGGCTGCACTAGTTGACCTGCGTACCTCCCTGGGAGGATCCAGGGCAGCCCCTCTCCATCTGACTGTGCTGCCCAACCCTGTTATGTTGTCAGGCTGCTGGCTTCCAATAGGCTACGGAAATGGCAAATGCTACAACTCAGGACTCTCCCCCAATCCCTGGTGAGTTGTTAATCGCCAGCATCTCAGGGATCAGTGAGATAGTGGGACAGTCTTTAGGGAGGTGTGGCGCATCCTTGACTATGAAGGGTCAATGTCATCGTTAATAGGGTCTAGATGCACATAGGGTTTTCACTGTGGTTGCCCACAGAGCTTCCATATACACGGAATAAAAAAGGTATATACCTTGAAAAAATGTTTTAAAATGTCCTGTGACCACAGGCTCCAAGTATTCAAAATATTTTTTTCTGATTTGTGTTGCTAATACGATTATTAGTAGTACGCAAAACCGAATAAATACATGATACAATTTGATAGTTGTCAAACGTAGAAAATAAGGAGACTGTGAGGGCCCTCATTTTTAACTGACTTCTTGTTTGGCACCTGGGGAGTTTGTACACACCAGGCCAGGAATGACAGGAGGAGGGGAAGCTGATGATCTGGAAACTGATTTCCTTTGAATGAACCATGACCAAGAACCCTTGCCCTCAGTTTGAAGACTGCAGGGCTGGTCTGTGTTGCCGAAGGCACTCATCCCACCTCCATCAGAAAATAACCACAGTAGGGCCAGGCGCAGTGGCTCACACCTGTAACCCCAGCACTTTGGGAGGCTGAGGTGGGTGGATCACTTGAGGCTGGGAGTTCGAGACCAGCCTGGGCAACATGGGGAAACCCATCTCTACTAAAACTACAAAAATTAGCAGGGCATGGTGGTGCACGCCTGTAGCTACCAGGGAGGATGAGGCAGGAGAATCACTTGAACCCGCGAGGCGGAGGTTGCAGTGTGCCGAGATCTTGCCACTGCACTCCAGCCTGGACAAAAGAGAGACTCTGTCACCAAAAAACAAAAACAAAAAAATGCGTTTCATGGGATGATGTACATACCCACCTCTTTGCCACATCTGGCTGGTGCATGCCCTTAGTTGCTGGGAGGTCAGGACGAGGGCAAGTTCACTTGAAACCTCAGCCCTACATAGTAACAAGCTCAAACACCCTTTTTACCAGAACCATGCTCTCCACAAATCATCAGAGCCTGTGGCCTGGCTCAAACCGCCTTTCAAGACATTCACATATGGGCAAGCAGCACTTGGACACTCCAGGCAAAGATGTATTAAAAGAGAGGGTCTTTCCAAAAGGACTCCTACCGCACCCACTAAGGGACTGGGTTTCCATATTTAACTGGGGAGAGGCTTTTATCTGTTGGGATTAATTCCCCTTACACAGAGAGCCATGCCCTGTATATGGAGCTAACTTTCCTGTTTGGCAGACACAGGAAATCACCGAGATCAGGTTCTTGGTCCAGACCACGACATAAGAGAAAAGATTTTCTTCTGACTTTTGCGTTGACCCCAGTGATACCCTGAGTTTTCCATTTTGGGTGGCTGGAGAACAGGGTGTGTGGTGACAGATGGGTTTGAGTGGAGAGCCTGGAATCTGTCATCGTCTTTAGTAAAATTGCCTTCCTTCAGTACCCTGACCGGCAAAGCACACTTCTGACCTCTTTCTGAACTGAATTAAGAATGGCCATGAACAGTCCGGGAAGTGGTTTTGAACTTTCAGGTGCTGTCCTTAGAGCACAATGGGCCTGTGTTCTTCCCCGTGGATCCATGGGGCCGGAACCATGAATAGCAGGCGCACAGTGGGTTTTGGTGCAACTGACCTTGTCCACACATCAGAGTTTCCGGTTTCCCAGTGACAAGCCTGCCTATGTATGTAAATGGATCCTGACTTACCCTTTCTTTTCTTTGCAGTGAAATGCAAAATGGAGGACGATGTGGTACCTGCAGCAAAATGAAAATTCCATCATCTTAACCACAGCTAAGATGTATCTTTGCCCATTCGAGCACAAGTTACCTCGTGCAAGGAAAATGTCCAAAGTATGCTTTCTCTCTTGTGATTTCTTTAACAAGACTTGGAACATATGAAAATGGAATCTTTTCTGTACAAGACAGGATTCATTGCAAACAAGCTTTAGTGCAAATAGTTTAGAAAAGAAAGGACCAGTCTTCACTTTCTGCATTATCCTCACATTTTATTCATTCATCCAGATTATTTCTTCAGTGCCTCAGGTGTATCCTTCTACACCAGCTGCTGTTAAAATGTACAATGAACTCTAGTCCCAAGGGATACAGAAGTGCTCTTATTACCAGTTTTCCCACTTTTGGCCGCTTTTGCAAAGATCCATATTCTAATTTAAGTCCCCAACCTCTGAATTTGGTTTTAAGTTTACCTAGTGACTGACTACTCTTTTTATAACAAAAGACCTTATACTTATGATCATTTCCAAAGGAGACCACCCCTTAACTTTTACTGCAAACCCAACAAGATGAGACACTTAAACCCAGACAGATGTAACAAAGGATTTCTGTTGTCTAAGTCCCAAAGTAGTATATAGAAAGTTTCTGCTTTTATGGGTAAATAAGCTTATTATCTTAATTTGTTCTGTGGTTTGCCATTAACCAAGATTCTCCCATTTAAAATGCCACAGACTGAGCCTCAGGGCAGATCCGAAAGCCTAGTAGTTAGTTGCATTGAGTTGTTTTCACAAGCTACCACACGTCTTAAGTAAATAGTAAAGCCTTTATTTTTGTGTTAAGAACAGCATTTTGAAAATAAAACCTATCTGCCCATGCTTTACAACCTTTTAAATTTGTAATATTTATATAGTCATTTATGGTACATATTGATTGTCTTGAAATTTCTTTAACTTCTTTTTTATAAGTCAGCAACAGTCAGCCAGGGGGAAGATAAAGTTACATTATAAAACACACATTAATGCATTTAATAAATATATATTATCTATCAAAAATGAGCCTTAGCTCTTCATCAATTAATAAAAAGCACCTGCTGAGGACTCCTGTAAGCTGGTATCATCATTGCATCATTGGATTATAAAAGCCACAATGCTCCCTTTCAGCTTGGGGTTTGGCCTGAGGCGTTCAACTCAGCCTTGGCCAACCAAGACCACCACCCGAATTCACCCTTGTTCAGTGGGCCCTGACGGCATCCGGGCTAAAAAAAAAAAAAAAGCACTGGGTGCCCAACTTCCAACAACTGGATCTTCAACTCTGGAAACCCTGGAGATGCACAGAACTTCCCAGTTTGTAAGCTGTCAGAGCTGACTCCCTCTCTTCCCACCCTCCATCTCCAGTGGGGAGAAATCCAGGCTAGAATGACAATTTTCTATTAAAAGGGGGGACAAGAGTGGCTGTTATAGTCCCAAAGTGATGTTAATAACCAGACACGGAACGATTTGTGCTTACAATGAGAGATTTTGATCACAGATGCTGTCCTTCCAGGTCGTTTTCCCTAAACAAGTCTTGTTTACACAAACAGATCTTAAAGAGAGGTGCCATTTAATTTTGTCTTTAAACCTTGCTCCACGGGGGGCAGCTGGCTGCTACAGTCTTGGCAAAGATGCCTCTTGGTACTTTTCAGGTGAATTCTTTAGAAAAAGAACAGCTCTCTCCCTTCTCCCCCACTCCCACCTCCGCCCCCATTATGAAGGGGTTCAGCCCACTCTCAACCTTAAAAGCTAAAATAAAACAAAACCCTAAGTGCAATAACATATCAGATTTAAAAGGGGGGTAAAGGTCTCATTAAGTGAGGCTTCCCATGGCTCAAAGATGGCTCTGTTCTTAGGTTGGGGAAGCATGACTTTCCATGGCAGCCATTTGTGCTGTGCTCACCTTATATGCTTGGACAATAAAGAACTTAGAAAACGAACGTGTGAATTGCTCCATCGTGTGAATGGTATCAGAAAGCTCCAAAGGACTCCAGAGAGCGGGGGTGAGTAACCATTTCCTGGCACGAGAATGTGTAATGCTGTCGTTTTTCACCGGACGGGACCGAGGTGTTTGAAGATTTCTTTCTTTTCAGAACACCAGGTCTGCATGCAACCGCCCCCACCCCCACCCCAGGTCCTAGCTTCATTCCCTCCCACCCCTCCCCAGGACTCTTACGTTTTCAGTCCACGCAATGACTGGAACGGGATTCTCTAGAAGCAAGCACATGCTCTGGGCAGAGGCGGGGCGCTTCCGGGGAGGTCAGGTGGGGGCGGCATTCTGGGGCCATGCGTTTTCTTCCCCATGCGTGGTAACACAAGGAAATGCACTAGCTGTTAAGGAAAACTCCAAGAAGGGCCACACAGGGAAGGCCAGATTGGCCTTATTTTCCCCAGTGCTTTGCAAGGATGGGGTGGGGAGGGGAGACAGCAGAGACTAGGGCCTTGAGAAGTATCAAAAGGTTTATTAAAACATACTCAGCTCAGACGTACTGGCTTATGAAGAGGTCAGTTCTCCCCCGGCCCCCAAACACTAACCTTTTTCATTTTTCTTTAAAGGTTAAAGGCTTATGGGTAGTTTGATAGAAAAAGCAATGTAGCGATTAGAGTATCTGCAGAAGGACCCACCCTCATGTATACATTCCATGCCGTCAGGTTAAAACTCTTTGCTTTGAATCGATGCTAGAGGTTATGCTGGCCAAACAGTGCAGAGAACATGGGGGCTTTGAATGGCCGAGATGTTCGAAATGCTAAATAACAAAGGAATGACTTGCTCAGGACAGATGGAAACCATGACAGAAACAATGGGCTTGGAAAAGGGCCGTTTTCATGGAACCTGCAGAAAAACCAAAACAAAATATCCCCCATACCCTCCAAAAGCAACAAGAAACCCTCATGTGATCCATTCTACCCGGGAACTTTCACCATATCAATGGAAAGGACCCGAGGTGTCACTGCTTGCAAGGCAGCGGGAGGTCATCTCTGTATCCTAGTGGGCACCCCGGAAGCCCTACTAGGTGACATCATCACAGAAAACCTGCCGTGGTGCCTGCCTTCCAACCTCCCTCCTGGAGGTGCTTTCAGCTGGTGACCGCATTGGAGCTCTTGAAATGAACAAGGGAATAAAATTGGGAAAGGGTTTGGAGAAACACCCGTAAGTGTAGGAACAGGGCGAGATGATCAAGGGAAGAAGGGACTGCTGCCCCAAGCCAGAATATTTCTATGGCTCTACAAGGGAAGGGGGTGGGGCCTGTGTTCTCGCCATAGATGCTAGAGCAAGAGCCCCATAGAAGGAACAGTGGTTGATCACTTTCCAAATGTGATGGTCACTTCATCTCCCAGAGGGCCTCTTCTTTGGCACATGCCAGGGTCCCTCCACCTCTACTGGCTATAAAGCTCACCCCACGATTCAGTTGGGCCTCGCCCTGGAATCCCGCTCACTACCTCAACTCTCTTGGCCCCCCTGAAATGTGCAAACCACCAGGCAAGCCGATGGCAAAGTCCCCATTTGTCTTCCTCAACGCAACGGTCATCTCCAAGAGGCCACCTGGGGTCCAGCACTTGCTGGGGAGGGGTGATAGAGTGGGAGCCCCCCACCTCCAACCAACACCAGCCTGGCCCACCAGCTGTGAATTTGGTTCTGTTCTACCCCCAGAGGATGAAACAGTCTTCCCAGCCACACTTTCGAGTGAGCCTAATACTATTTGCAATTAGCTTTGCTTTAGTTTGCGGGGATTGAGGTTGGTCTGGTATTACGTGTCTGTGTGTGTGGCAGGGGAGGGGCGGGCAGTCGGTGTTAGCTTTTCAGTTCGTCAGTGTTCACATTTACACGAAATCCCCTTGGCTAGGATTTCCAAATTTCCTGGCTGTGAGGCGGCCTGGTTCGGCTACTGTTACCGATTTCTCCCTCAAGAAAGACACAGCCAGGGAGGGAAATCGGTAAGAGAGATTCTGATTCTCTGGAACTTAAAGTCTTTCACCAAAGGTGTCTTCCTGTGTGACTTGGCGGAGCAGTTGGGATCTGGAATAACACATAAGGATAACACACTGAGAACTCTGTGCTTTGCAAAATCAACATTAGAAACTGATGCGTAAACAACGTGGCAAAAATAAGTTACCTTGCTTTTACCTAGATAGGCCGACTAATCCCAGGAGAGGCAGCAGTGACTGTGTGTCATGCTGCTGTGGTTCTTGGGAAGCCCAGCTCCCTTTTCTAGAATCATCCACCCCTAAGGAATGTAAGTTCAACTCATTCACTTTCTGTCTTGACTATTTTTTCCACACACTGGCCTTGAAGGAAGCAGGACGGCTTAAGGTGACGGATGGGGGCTTTTCTGACCATATTTATTATAACACACAGGCCAAATGCTTGTGAATCAGGCTTTTCTTGGCACGGCACAATAAAACAGCCCAGTGGTTGGCAGGGGGTTTTAAGAATGCAAATCTGTGATTCTGTCTTTAAGCCTGTTCCAAACCAATGCAAACCAATGCCTAGCATGCCATTCAAAAGGCCAGGAAAACCTAAATTCCCTCTAGAGATCAAAGACCATCCCTAATTTACATCAAAAGAAAAAAAAAAAAGAATGTTCAGGTTGAGTTATGGAGTTGGAACATGATATAAAGAATGGAAACCCAATTTACACATGTAAACTGGCTCAGGCCTTGTTTCTGAAAGAAGCATGTAGCTATGTTTGGAAATTAAATGTGGGGATGAGAGTGCATCTTTGGATTGCTGGAGAAACAAAATAATGTCATTCCACCGAGGCAAACGTAAACAATGACAATTCTGCTGAAGGTCTGTTTGGCATCAGATAGTAATAAACCTGCTTCTGCGTTTGAGGGAGAGAAATAGTAACTCCTTCAATTTCTTAAGACTTCTCTTAGGGAATGGGAGAACCTGGTACCCAGCTCAGGGGAATCAACAGAGGGGTGACCGGGGACCTTAAACTAGGTTGGATGTCAGCAAAATCTGCTAGGGGCGCTCCATCATTCTGGGCTTTTCCCAAGAGTCACCTCCCAGGGACAAAGCTGGGGCACTGCATCACGAAAGCCAAATAATTCAGTTGGTGCAACAAGGATTAGGAACTCTTTCAAACGAATCTACAGATGGTTTTCTAAATAGAGGTGGGTATCCCGTGTGTGGAGACAAGGGGTAGAAAGGGAAAGAAGAAAAAAGCATTGCATGCGTTTGAGCTGCGGTCCTTGCAGGCCACATGAGCAGCCTCCACGGAGGAGTATGTCACTGTTGAAGCTGCTCCCCCACACCGTAGACTCCTAGGCTTCCTACCCCCACATCACATCTTGATACTTACAGTGCCACCGTTGAGCACGACGGCCATCTCAGTTGGCTGATACACGTTGCTTCTAAACGGAGCGCTGGGTCTTTTCCCCAAGCTGCCACTCGGTCTTTTTCCCAAGCTGCCGTTGGGAAATCCTGCTGTTCGGAGAGCTGGGGGAGGGAGGGATTGGCAAGACAACATTACCAAAAAAAAAGACACAATTTTGTTTTCTTCCTCTGCAACACCACCACGCTGCGGGCACCCCCATCCACCCGGCCCAGTGGCTCCTCCCCTTTGTCACAAGCCTGATTCAAAACAAAAGTCACAAAGGGGCTTTGTTCTCAGGCTCTCTAGGAGCCTGACCCATCTCAGTGGGTTTGGGAAAAGCTGCTGTAGAGACCAGGGGAAGGAGGCCCATGGTTGGGCCTCTAGCCTCCCCCAAGCCACGCAGCCACTGCAGGCCATGGGTGACAGGCGCCTTCTCACTACAGAAAGCCATTCATGTAAAGTTCAGCATCACGCTACTCAGAACTGCTTGCTGTGTCTGCACACACACTGAGGAGGAAGCTGCTAAGAGTCTTCACTGGAAAGTGACCAGGGATGAGAACAGGGAGACTCTAACCACACGTGTAGGGTTATTCCAAACAAGAATAAAAGGGAGACCTAAAGCCAAGACGGCATGTCGGCACTTTTTCCCTCTGAAAGATGGGTAGAACCAGTGTTCCTTATATACTGTACTTTTAGAGATTTGAACTTCCTTTTTGTTAAAGAAAAACTAACATGAAAAGACATGGAGGAATCTAAAAAAAAAAAAAAAAAAAAAAAAAAGGTAGAAGCTGGGTGCAGTGACTCAAGCCTGTAATTCCTAATCCTAGCATTTTGGGAGGCCAAGGTGGGTGGATCACTTGAGGTCAGGAGTTCAAGACCAGCCTGGCCAACATGGCAAAAACCCCTCTCTACTAATAATACAAAAATTAGCCAGGTGTGGTAGTGCACACCTGTAATCCCAGCTACTCGAGAGGCTGCGGCTTAAGAATCGCTTGAACCTGGGAGGTAAAGGTTGCAGTGAGCCAAGATTGCACCACTGCACTCCAGTGTGGGTGATAGAGTGAAACGGTGTCTCAAAAACAGAAAAGTCTTCCCTGAAGGGAACCACTTTTCTCGCTAAAAAGCAACAAGAGAGTTTGTTCTTGTTTTTTGTTTGTTTGTTTGTTTTGCAAATTACTTGGGGCAGGGACCAAAATCAACTTAGTTATACAGTTAAGCTTCATAGAGTGCCAGCCAGGAGCCAGGCACTGTGCAACGTACTTTCTATACATTAACCATTAACTCATTTCATTTTCTTCCTTTCTTTTTAACTCATTTCATTTCCATCGCATGATAGGTCCTTTTTTTTTTTGACAAGCTCTCACTGTTGTCCAGGCTAGAATGCAGTGGCACGATCATAGTTCACTGCAGCCTTGGATTCCCAGGCTCAAGCGATCCTCCTGCCTCAACCTCCTGAGTAGCTGGGACTACAGACACATGCCACTGTGCCTGGATAATTTTTTAATATATTTTTTGTACAGATGGGGTCTCACTTTGTTGCCCAGGCTGACTATATGTACTTTCATTATTTCCACTTTGGTTGGGGCACAGAGAGGTTAAGTAACTTGCCCAAGGTCACACAGTTGGTAAGGGGCACAGTCAGCATTGGGACCCAGGCAAGGAATCTGTGTTCTTTTTTTTTTTTTTTGAGACAGAGTCTCGCTCTGTCGCCCAGGCTGGAGTGCAGTGGCGTAATCTCGGCTCACTGCAACCTTCACCTCCCAGATTCAAGCGATTCTCAGGTCTCAGCCTCCTGAGTAAAGTAGCTGGGACCACAAGCACACGCCACCATGCCCAGCTAATTTTTGTGTTTTTAGCAGAGACGGGGTTTCGCCATGTTGGCCAAGCTGGTCTCCAACTCCTGACCTCAAGTGATCCACCCACCTCGGCCTCCCAAAGTGCTGGGATTACAGGAATGAGCCACCGTGCCCGGCTGGCATTCGATTCTTATAGGAGCTCAAACCCTATTGAGAATTGTGGATGCGAGGGATCTAGGTTGCGTGTTCCTTATGAGAATCTAATGATGATCTAAGGTGGAACAGTTTCATCCTGAAACCGCCCCCCAACCCCCCCAACCTTGGTCCATGGAAAGACTGTCTTCCATGGTGCCAAAAAGGTTGGGGACAGCTGCTTTAGCCTACTCACATTGGATTTTTTATTACTTGCAACTTACTTCAAGAAGCCCAACACCACCGTATCCAGACCTGGGCCAGAGAGAAAGGCAAGCAAGGCTCACCCACCTTGCTTAGGACCTCTGCTAAGACAAGGAAGTCCCATTAGGAATCAAAGCTCAAATGGCTGAATGTCAGCCTTTTCTTGCATAGACTCTGCATGTGATGCTAGGCTGGCCTTGCCCCCAAAGCCAACTCGGGGCCTTCCAGCAAGAAGCAAAAGGTCACTTTAAATAGGCCTTGGCCCTAATAAGATCTGAGAGCCCAAAGCCCCTAACAGAGGAAAGAACACTTTTCTTTCTTGCTCTGTTGAAAGTGAACATTTCATGTGCCTTGTTAACGCTTTCCAAGATGTGATCCGAGGTGCTACATCTCTCAGTGTATTTTAATCTTTTATCACTACCTTGTTGATACTTATTAATAATCAGCAGGTAAGTGAGGTTGTATATATCTGAGGTCTCACTCAGTGGAAGGATATAGGGTGTGGAGGCTTCTGGGGTTTGGCAAAACAACAGGCCAGCCTGGAGAATGCCCTTCCCACCGCATGAGCATGTCAGGGATGGTCTCTCAAAGGAAGAGAGACCAAAAGGCTAAAATGCAAGAGAAACTGGGCCAACCATAGCTCCTCGGCACCGGCTATTCTGCTATTCTGTGAGACCCAACGGCTCAAGGATAAGGCCTCTGCCTCAGGGGGCCCGGTTCCTAAAATACAAGCTGGCTGAGGTCAGCACCAAAGATGCCAACAGCTGTTCCTCCTGTGGTAAGGGAACATGCCAGACAGTCCCCAGCCAGCAAAGCAAGGGTTTCTAGAACAAAGGCCATCTAGCCAGGACTCCAATTTAGCCTTTCTGTGGGAGTTTTGCCCGGTCTCATAGGAATTTTTTTTTTTTGAATCAGGGTCTCTGTCTCAGGCTGGGGCACAGTGTGTGAATATGGCTCACTGCAGCCTCGACCTCCCTAGCTTAAGTCACCCTCTCACCTCAGCCTCCCAAGCAGCAGGGACTACAGGCACACGCCACCATGCCTGGCTTATTTTTGTAATTTTTTTTGTAGAGACAGGGTCTCCCTATGTTGCTCTGGCTGGTCTCTAAATTTCTGAGCTCAAGTAATTCTCCTGCCTCAGCCTCCCAAAGAGCTGGGATACAGTTGTGAGCCACTGCGCCCAGCTTCATGTGAATTTTGGTGGACACACATTTGGGATGATTCAAAAGAAGGCTATTTTTAAAAAAGTCTGACAAAACCCAGGATTGCTCAAGAGGTGAAGAGATGGAGCTTTGATGCATTTATCAAGGGGAAGAGCAGTCCACTGGTCTACCTTTCTGGGGTGCCATCTGGCAGTATGTACATTAATTCCTCACTTAATGCCATTAAAAGGTTCTTGAAAACTGCAACTTAAGTGAAGGAACGTACAAGAGGTCCTTGAATAGTGTCATTGTTTTGCTAGTGAAATTGATCAGGAAAAAGACTGGTTTTATTACACATCATTTCACTTAAAGACACAGTTTGCAAGAACCTGCTAATAATGTCAAGTGAGGATTTACTGTGTCAAGATGTGAAGTGCAGGCTCTTTAACCCATATCTAGAAAATTTTTTTGCAAGGAGTGAATTGATTAGAAGCCTGAAGATGAATGCATAAGAATGTTCATTGCAGCACTGTTTATCATCAAGAGCCAGAAGCAGGCAGAATATTCACCAGCTGAAGATAAAAAAATTAAGTGACAGGGCCTAATGGCAAGCTCTGCATCATTGAAAGGAGACTGTAGCTCTGCAGTTACTGATCTGCAGTTACCTCTGTAACATTGATTTAAAGTAAGCACGCTGAAGAACATCACTCAGACCAGTGGTTTCAACCTGGTTACATCTGAGAATCACTTGGAGAGCTTAGAAAACACCTAATCCCAAACTCAGACTTAATCACAATTGAGCAAGCATTGTTTTTTTTTGTTTGTTTGTTTGAGATGGAGTCTCACTCTGTCGCCCAGGCTGGAGTGCAGTGGCACAATCTCAGCTCACTGCAACCTCCGTTTCCCAGGTTCAAGCAATTCTGCCTCAGCCTCCCAAGTAGCTGGGATTACAGGCATGTGCCACCATGCCCGGCTGATTTTTTTGTATTTTTAGTAGAGACGGGGTTTCACCATATTGTCCAGGCTGGTCTCGAACTCCTGACCTTGTGATCCACCCGCCTCAGCCTCCCAAAGTGCTGGGACTGCACCCGGCCAAGCACTGGTAATTTTTTAAAGCAGCCCAAGTGATTGTAATGTGTAGCCTGGTTAAGAAGCACTCTACCCTATTATGTGTGAGTGTGGAAGCAAACCGTTGCCCCTGGGCAAAGGAATTTTAAGCAATTTTTGTTTATTAATGTTTTTTATTTTTATTTTTCATTTGAGATAAAGTCTCCCTTTGTCACCCAGGCTGGGGTGCGGTGACGCAATCTCAGCTCACTGTAACCTCCGCCTCCCTGGTTCAGGCGATTCTCCCATTCTCCCACCTCAGCCTCCCGAGCGAGTACCTGGGATTACAGGCATGCACCATCATGCCCAGCTATTTATTATTATCATTTTTTTTAAATTTTATTTTTAGTAGAGACAGGGGTGTCACCATGTTGCCCAGGGTAGCCTCCAACCTTTGAGCTGAAGCAATCTGCCCGCCTCAGCCTCCCAAAATGCTGGGATGACAGGTGTGAGCCACCGCACCTGGCTATTATTTTTACTTGTTGAACCTACATGATTCCGCTGATTCTGTATGATTATTGTTGCTTATTTGCCACCAAGAAGGAGTGATAAAGGTATTTTTGTTTTGGAAAAGAAAGAGGGGAATGGAAAGACAACTTCCTTGGCTTTGGAATGTGTCACTGTGAAACAGATAGGGTGGGCGGCACCTCCAGACTCTCCATCACCCCCGCACCAGCCCCAGCTCTGCGGACTCCAACCTGGGTCCCAGAGCCCTTGCATCTCTGGATCTTACCTGGCTATAAAGTCTTGGCTGCATTTTTACAAGAAAGGATGTAAGTAATGGAATTCAGGAAACCAGCTTCTTCTCTTCCTGCTCTGGCGTGTATTTGTAGCTTACACTTGAACAAGCTGCCTGACATCCCTGGGCTCACTTTTCCACTCTGTAAAATGGGTCTGATAGTCCTCATCTTTCCAAATGCACAGAGTTGTCCTGACACCTCAGTGAGACGAGCGGCGCTTAAGTGCTTTATGAAGAGGAGAGTATTCCATGGCAAAGGGGTCAGGCATGTGGCCTCTGGAGCTATCCCGCCTGGGTTCAAACTCTTGGCTCTGCCTGGATTTAAACTCTGCCTCTGCCTGGGTTCAAATTCCGGCTCTGCCTCTTGGGCAAACTGCTTAGCCTCTCTGTGCCTCAGTTTCCTATCTGCAAATCAGAACTCCTGGAGTTACTGCAGAGATTAAAAGAGATCAGTCACTAAAATGCTCAGAATGATACTGGGCCCCCAGGAAGCCCCCAGCGGAGGTTAGTTATCTTACACTGTAAAGGCCATAATACTTGGGTAACTCTGGCATCGTGGTTTTACTTCAAGAAAATGGAACCATCATGTTCAACAACACACTGGTTCTTCACCTTTTGGGGTCATGGGTGGCTTTGAGAATCTGACAAAGCCATAGAACAATTCCCTAGAGAAACATATGTTAAAACCTCTTCTCCAGTGTGATGATATTAGATGGTAGAGCCTTTGGGAGGTGATAAGGCCATCAGGATGGAGCCTTCATGAATGAGATTCATGTCCTTATAAAAGAGGCTCCATGGCCGGGCGCAGGGGCTCACGTCTGTAATCCCAGCACTTTGGGAGACCGAAGCGGGCAGATCACAAGGTCAGGAGTTTGAGACCATACTGGCCAACATAGTGAAACCCCGTCTCTACTAAAAATACAAAAATTAGCCGGGTGTGGTGGCACGCACATCTCTAGTGTCCATCTCAAGTAGTCTCAGCTACTCAGGAGGCTGAGGCAGGAGAATTGCTTGAACCCAGGAGGTGGAGGTTGCAGTGAGCTGAGACCACACCATTGCACTCCAGCCCGGGTGACAGAGTGAGACTCTATCTAGAAAACAAAACAAAACAAAAAAATGGGGCTGGGTGCAGTGGCTCATGCCTGTAATTCCGACACTTTGGGAGGCCGAGGCGGGTGGATCACCTGAGGTCAGGTGTTGGGACGAGCCTGAACAACATGGAGAAACCCTGTCTCTATTAAAAATACAAAACTAGCCGGGTGTGGTGGTGGGTGCCTGTAATCCCAGCTACTTGGGAGGTTGAGGCAGGAGAATCACTTGAACCTGGGAGACGGAGGCTGCAGTGAGCTGAGATCGCGTCACTGCACTCCAGTCCAGCCTGCTGGGTGATAGAGTGAGACACTGCCTCAAAAAAAAAAAAAAAAAAAAAAGAAAAAAAAGCACAATAGTGCCTGACACATAGTTAGTGCTCCACAAATGATGACAATACTAGTTATTATTATTATGAATGCTGTAGCCCCTGATGCATCTTTCTCAAAGAACCGAGAAAGCGGAAGTTTATTTAATCTCAAGTGGTGGGATCCTGGCTGACTCCCTTCAAGTAATGATTCTAAGAGATACTTCTCAAGTGTCCATAGCAGGGGATTTGGGTTCCTGTATCACATCCCCTAGGCAGGTCCTAGTGGGTTCTATGCCACATCCCCTAGATAGGACCTCACTTCTGAAGCCCCCTGCAGCAGTAGCAGACCCTGGGTACCCAGAAAACGTCCATCTCAAGTGCTCAGCAAATCTGTTTTCCTGCCTTGGAACAGATGATACTTATCCACCCAGTCACCAGAATTATAGGGGATGTTAATAACACTTGGAAGCCCAGTGCTATGGCTCATGCCTGTAATCACAGCACTTTGGGAAGCCAAGGTGGGGGGAATCACTTGGGCTCAGGAATTCGAGACCACCCTAGGCAACATAGTGAGACTCCGTGTCTATCAAAAATAAAAAATAAGTTAACTGGGTGTGGTGGTGTGTGCCTGTGGTCCCAGCTACTCGGGAGGCTGAGGTGGGAGGACTGCTTGAGCCCAGGAGGTCAAGGCTGCGTGAACTGTGATTGTGCCACTGCACTCTAGCCTGGGCAACAGAGCGAGACTCAGTCCATAAAGACAGAAACCAAAACCAAATAACACTGGGAGATGGGAGCTGGTGGACAGATGCCCTAGCCTCATTTTCTTCCTGGACCAATTCTGAGGCTCATTCAGGCTCATTCTTATGTCCTCAGAGGATTCCCAGCACGAATGAGCCGCTGCTGCCCGTGGTGGTAACTGGCTCATTAATGTACTTGTTTTATCATCTCTGCCTTCTCAGTCTCATTCTCCCTGCCCTCTCCCTTGCAGGGACCACCGCCCCACTAAACCACCCGCACTGTGGCCCTTGTCTCAGATTCTGCTTCCAGGGGAAGCCGAGTAAGATGCACAGAGAACGCAGCAGGTACCAAGAGGGCTTTGTACTCACTGTGTTCCTTCTCCTAACAGCTCTATGAGGTGCAGTCTTTTACTATTTCTAGTTCACAGATGAGAAAACCTGAGGCTTATAAAAGTAATATAATTGTTCAAAGCCACAGCAGAGGCAGAATTTGAACCCAGACATCTGGCTCCAGGGCCCAAATTAGTACATTCCTGGTGACTGAGGTAGGAGAGGGGATGGGAGCCATTCCCGCTGTGGCCCCCTACATCCATCCAGCACATAATTTGCAGACTCAAATGCTTGGGGGATGGAGGAGCCAGGGAATTAATGTTACTATGCTACATCGCAGCTGGGTCAGGAGCAATAGAGAGTGGTGGAGAGTGCGGTGAACAGAAAAGTGGATTCCCATCTGAAGGGCAGCCACAGCTCCAGGAGGGGCCAGAGGCAGGGTCTTCTAGTGCACATGGTCTCAAGTCAGTTTCAGATCATTGCAGCCCAGTGGAAATGTTGGTCCAGTGTTGCCAGATTCGACTTTGTAAAAGAAGCCAGAAACCTGTATTTTTAAAATAAATTGGCTGGCAATTGGTAGGGAAAAAAAAAAAGCTTAAAAAAATCCGTATCCAGAGCTTTGAGAGGCTGAGGCGGGAAGCTCATTTGAGCCCAGGAGTTTGAGACCTGCCTGGGCCACATAATGAGGCCCTGTCTCTACAAAGAATAAGAAAATTAGCTGGACATGGTGGCGCATGCATGCATGCAGTCCCAGCTAGTCGGGAGGCTGAGGTGGGAGGATTACTTTAGCCCAGGAGTTTGAGGCTGCAGTGAGCTATGATCATGCTGCTGCACTCAGCCTGGGCAACAGAACAAGACCCTGTCTCAAAAACAACAACAACAACAACAACAAAACCCAAACCCTGCTGGGCGCGGTGGGTCACTCCTGTAATCCCAGCACTTTGGAAGGCGGAGATGGGCATATCGTCTGAGGTCAGGAATACAAGACCAAGCTCGCCAACATGGTGAAACCCCGCCTCTACTAAAAATACAAAAATTAGCTGAGCATGGTGGCACGCGCTTGTAGTCCCAGCTACTGGGGAGGCTGAGGCAGGAGAATCGCTTGAACCCAGGAGGCGGAGGTTGCAGTGAGCTGAGATTGCGCCATTGCGCTCCAGCCTGGGTGACTAGAGCGAAAATCCGTCTCAAACAAACCAACAACCCAAACCATATCTGGGCCAGTTTCAGCACAGGAGCCAACGTTTGTGGGTTCTGATCTGCTACGACTGTCCCAGGCACTGGGACTGCCCTTCCCCACTGCAGAGGAAGAAGAGCGTCTTTTGAGATGCTCTGACCCAGCCAGGCGGTGCCCACTTTACCTGCATTGTGTTCATCCATGGAGAAGGCCTTGTTTTCCATATAGGCCCGCGGCAGCTGCACGTCCTCCTCGAAGGCTGTCTCGCGCATCCTGGGCTGCGACGTGTCGAAGTAGTTGGGCGTGTTCTCCTGCAGGGCCGGCAGAAGGGTGCAGTGGACCTCAGGGATGGCGTGGAAGATGACGAAGACCCAGCCGCTGGCCGCCAGCGTGATGGCCAAGGTGGGGTCGTTCCAGGCATCTCCCTGCTGCAGCTTGACATTGCCGAAGAGGTACATGGTCATCCAGGCCACCCAGATGAGCACAGAGAGGAAGGCTGTGATGAGGAGGAAGGCCCCGTTCAGCTTCCACCTCTTGAACTTGCCGCACAGAGTGAAGAGGGCCAGCCCCAGGGTGACCACCAGTAGTACCATGTCGTAGATGAGGGCCATCACAAAGTCCATGGGCTCATAGGCGCAGGCCGGCCTCGTGTCGCGCAGCACGGTGAGCACCAGCCACTCCACAGCGATGATGACTTGTACCAGCATCAGGCACAGCGCCAGGCCCACCAGCTGCCAGCCCGCGGGGCCCGTGCCGTGCCGCACCAGCCTCCGCACGCGCCACGCCTGGCTCAGCAGGCAGGAGAAGCAGAGCGCAAAGAGGACGCCCCAGAGGAAGCGGCGGACGGAGCAGATGGTCTCGTCCTCCTGGATGATGAAGGCGAACGTCAGCCCGAAGAGGCCCAGGGTCCCCAGGAGGAAAAGAAAGTGGAGGCCCACGGGGCTCTTCTTCTCCTTCTCCTTGATGAAGGGCAGCCGCACCAGGAGGATGAGCATCAGGAGCAGTGTGATCAGGGCGCCCGCCCCGGCCACCGCCTCCACCACGATGCCCCAGATGGCGTCCAGGTCGCACAGGGACACGTACTGAGGGAGGAGGTCCAGCCCGCACCCTCGGGACGTGCTGGCGTTTTCAGAGGCCACCGAGGTGATCACAAAGAGCAGGAGGAAGGTGAGCACCTGGTGAGCTCTCATCTTTCTCTCTGATGCCACGAACATTCTAGAAAAGCCAAGGGGGGAAGGAAAGATCAATTCATTGGAAGACTCCCCCTCTCCTGACTTCTTGAAGAAGACCCACCTCTCGTTTTGGGTCCCATCTGTACCCTTGGCTGGGTGCAGTGAAGAACCATGAATCATCACCGCTGGTGGCTGGAGGACAGGGGGAGGGAGGCCAACTTCTCTGTATACCCTTTTATATTCTTTGAATTTGATACTCTGTGCCACGTCAGACCTCTTGAAAAATAAGGGGAAGGCTGGGCGCGGTGGCTCATGCTTGTAATCCCAGCGGTTTGGGAGGCAGAGATGGGTGGATCACGAGGTCAGGAGTTCAAGACCAGCTTGGCCAACACAGTGAAATGCCGTCTCTACTAAAAAATACAAAAATTTGCTGGGTGTGGTGTCAGGTGCCTGTAATCCCAGCTACTTGGGAGGCTGAGGCAGGAGAATTGCTTGAACCTGGGAGGCGGAGGTCACAGTGAGCCAAGATCGCGCCACTAAACTCCAGCCTGGGCGACAGAGCTAGAAGCCGTCTCAAAAAAAAAAAAAAAAAGAAAAAAAAAAAAAAAAAAAAAAGAAAAAGAAAGAAAGAAAAATAAGGGGAAAAAAATGAAACTTTAAAGAGACAGCCACAGGTCAAGTGCTGCACTAGGAGAATGAGTGGTATGAATTACCCAGTCTCAGCCTCTCGAGGCTAACAGCTAACATTTACTACCAACTAACTTCAGGACAGGAACTGGACACATCCAGTCCTCACAATGCCCTGTGAGACAGCTCCTTTTAGGACCTCCATCTTACAGGTGACAATACAGAGTCTCCAGGAGGTGACAACCTTTGCACAAGGTCACACAACTTAACTCCTGGATGCGACCTCACTCCGAGGGCTCCCAGCATTTCTTCGCTTTCTTTTTTCTTTTCTTTTTTTTTGAGATGGAGTCTCTCTGTTGCCCAGGTTGGAGTGCAGTGGTGCAATCTTGGCTCCCTACAGCCTCCGCCTCCCAGGTTCAAACAATTCTCCTGCCTCAGCCTCCTGAGTAGCTGGGATTACAGGCGTGCACCACTACGCCTGGCTAATTTTTTTTGTATTTCTAGTAGAGATGAGGTTTCACCATGTGGGCCAGGCTGGTCTCGAACTCCTGATCTCAAGTGATTCACCCGCCTCGGCCTCTCAAAGTGCCGGGATCCCAGCATTTCAAATGTAGTAAACACAAAAGCAGCTGTCTTCCTTGGTTCCAGGCTGCGTCTCTCCCTCACCTCCCACGCTCGCTCTCTAGAACATCTCTGGAGGATTCCCCGGAGTGCATCTCTCCCTGGGAAACCTGCAGAATTCTCTCTGCTGCCTCTCTCCTGCCCATATACGAGCTGGACTCCACACAGCAGCCTCAGTGACGGGCCTAACCCAAGTCTCCTCTTGCCCCTCTGCTCCCTCTGCCTGGCCACTCCTCCTCCCTGTGCCGAGCTCAGCTCTGATGCTATCAACTCAGACCTTGGCCAAGGTCACACCCCAGTCTTCTCCACCACAGCCTCTGGTCTAATCGCGTCTGTCATTTTTTGACTGTTTACTTTGTTTCTGCCTTCCCTTCCTCCTGTCCTCCCATCCTCACTTCCTCCATTGCAAGATGTGGCAGGGCAGGGACATGGTCTCTCTTGTTCACCAACAGACAAGGCTCCTTCAGTCTTGGCACGACTGACATTTGGGCTGGGTCGTTCTCTGTCATGGGGGACTGTGTGTTGTAGGATGTTTACCAGCATCCCCGGGTTCTACCCACTGGATCCCAGTAGCACGTCCCCTCCTCCAACTGTGCCAACCCCAAATGTCTCTAGACAGTGCCAGATGTCCCCTGGGGGAGCAAAATCGCCTGGATGAGAACCACGGGTGTAGACTGAAGCTCGACACACAGCGCCTGGCATGAAGTAGATGTTTAGTAAATACTGAATGAATGAAAAACATAGCAAGGACCGTCCTCTACCTCACAGCTACCAGCTCCTCGCTTTTTTTTTTTCCCCCCTCTAACAGCCCCTTGCTTTTGAAGGGAGCCTGGTCTTTAGGAAAGCCACAGCCTGCACAGCTGGCTGGGCGCTCGTTTTCCAGCATCTCAAGCCAGACTTACTGCCCCAGCTCAACCCACGTGTGGGGTTGTGACCAGCTGCTCTCCCCGGGCTCCAGTATGTCCCTGGGGCTTCCCTAAGTAAATGCGGTATCGACCACCTCACTGTTACAGAGATCCTGTGAGCGTCTCAGATCCTGCCCTGGCTGTGAGGCTTTCCAGTGGCATAAATTATTGATGTTACTGAAGGAAAAGGTGCCTGGGGCTGTCGGGCTCATGTCCTTTGCCTACTGATGAGAGGAGGCAGGCTCGGAATAGAAGGCATCTGGCCAGCATCCCGCCTCAGCATCCTGCTCAGGAACGCTCAGGGGTGAGGATGCACCCCAGGCACTGACGGTCGGCCTGCCATCCAGCACTTATTCGTGGTCCTGCCACATCAGTTGCTGGCGTGCCACTGCAGCTACTTGTGCTTTGTCCACACACCACCTGGGCAGTTATTTACTTAACTTTTGAATCAGCCTACTTAAAAGAAAACCAAACACATTCAAGTGTTTATCTCCAGACATTTTAAAATTGCTCATTGAGGCTGGGCGCAGTGACTCATGCCTGTAATCCCAGCACTTTGGGAGGCTGAGGCAAGAGGATCACTTGAGGACAGCAGTTTGAGACCAGCCTGGCCAATATGGTGAAACCCCTTCTCTACCAAAAATAAAAAAATTAGCTGGGCGTGGTGCCATGTGCCTGTAGTCCCAGCTACTTGGGATGCTGAGGCAGAAGAATCGCTTGAACCTGGGAGGTGGAGGTTTCAGTGCGCCGAGATCTTGTCACTGCGCTCCAGCCTGGGCAACAGAGCGAGACTCTGTCTCAATAAATAAATAAATAAATATCAGATAAAATTGCTGGTTGATGTAACCCATGTTGCATACCCACTGGGCACATTTCAACCTACCACTCTTTGGATAAACATCCTAACACAATTGCTTGTCACGAGGTCCTAAAAGCACACGAGGGATCAAAATGTAAGAACTGGAGGCGTCAGAGCAAAATGCTAACAGTCCCTTACCCGGTGGAGGGGCCCTGGAGTGGATTCCCCTGAGACGCCTCATCAATGACCAGCTCAGTTAAGAGACTTCTCAGCAGGTTTCAGCAAGCAATGTCCCAAGCAGCCTCTCTCATCCCATCCAGCCCCAGGGCGGCTGGGAGGATGACAGGCAGGAATGTGCTTTGCAGTCCTGACTACTACGGATTCCCCAACCCCTCCTCCCCCTGTAGGCCAGTGGCTCCCAACCAGGTGCCATTTTTACCCCCAGGGACCATTTGGCAATGTCTAGAGACATTTTTGGTTGTCACAACTAGGGAGGGAGATGCAATTGGTATCAGGGGATGGAGGCCAGAAATGCTGCTGAACATTCTACATCTGGTGGGACAGCTCCCACCAGAAAGGATTATCCAGCCCTACAGGTCAACTGTGCCCAGGTGGAGCAAGCCTGGTTTAGGCACGTAAAGACAGAATGGATGGGGAAGATTCCACGAAACCACCCAGGCCCCTCAGCAGCAAGCCTGCACCCTGGGTCTCTTTGCAAGAACTTGGCCTTCTTAAGCTGTTTCCATTCACTCTTGGAGGCGGTTCTCTCTTTTCCAGACCTGGCTGCAAATTGGGACTTTTGTTTCTCCAGCTCCTCCCCATTCCTGCTCAGTCGTGCAACCACAACAGAAAACCTATGTGGAGGACGCCAACACCAAGACGGCGACCAAGCTTCTGAAATGGTGCAGAGTTCTATGGCCCTGGTCCAGGTTTCCAGCTCCTGACTACTCTCTGACATGGGACATGGATACACTCTTGCTTTCTGTTTTCATCCCTGAGGGTGGAACTCTCTGCTTTTCCGGGACAGCTGTTGTTTTTGCTGCTCAGCATCCGCTTCTCCCATTTCTGGAAAGAGCACCTGATTTTCCCTTGGAGAGCTACCTTGTGTCTGTGCTCCCAGCATGGGCATCTGTCCTAGGCCTGGCCAACCACAGCATTTATGCTACCCTAAGCCACAGTGAGTGGTTCATGGAAAGGCACGTGGCCTGAGGCCCATGAGAATCCACCCTAGGATTGTTCTAGCACTCACTGGAAGGAGGTCTTCTCTTTCTGCTGGGGTTGAAAAACTACGAGGACGGAGGCCTGAAGCTGGAGAATACATTTGCCATCACAGGGCGAGAACTTGTCTGAGAGTAAAGCTGTCCCCGAGGAAACAGCTATGGGATGGACCACAGTCCTAATACACTGAATGACTGGATTCATCCATGCCTGAAGCCAGTCTGGTCTTTGCAGTTCCAGCAGCCAGTTAACTCCCCCTAGCCCTTGCTTTTTTTTTTGGATTAAGCCAGTTTGAGCTGGGTTTCTGTCACTTGACAACAAAGAAATTTAATATTCCTCCCACATCTTATGGCCCCCTTCTTCCAGGAAGTCCTCCCTAACCAACCTCTAAGCACATAGATGCAACTGATGGCACCGCTTGTCTCAAGTGGGTCATTATCATTGCCAAGGCTGCCCATGAGGTGACAGCCACTGCACTCCATAGGACAATGTCCAGGCTGTTTGGGGGAGGGGTGTGGCACACTGCCTCACAGACTGATGCTGAGGCAGCTCATCTAGGACTTCTGGGGGATTCAGAAATGCTCCGCAGAGTTTCCTATTGCAGCCAAAGTGACAACAATAATAACTGGTTAACCCTTACAGTGCTATGTTCTAGGCACTCTGTGTACTTCACGTCTATTATTACCTAATGATCTACATTATAGTTCTATAAAGTAAGTACTATTACTATCTCCATTTTACAGGAGATAAAACAGGGAGGACAGCAGGCTTGTCCAAGGTCACACAGCTACAAAGGGGTGAGGCCAGATGCAAACAATTGTACTATTGCTCCTGGGATTTTACTACACACTAGAGTCCTAGAAGTGCCACTTG